TACCATCCAGAGACTCCAGTAACACTCATTCCGAAATTAATTGCTGGGAGTCACAGAGTCCAACAAATTTATAGTTAAAACCTAGGAGTTAATTTCGTTCCATTTCCTCATTTCAGCCCTCTGGAGTCTTCCTCAATCCCAAAGCCACTAAACTGATTCTGACTTGCACTGGCCCAGTAGGACAGAGTAGAATTGCTCCACGATGTTTCCAAGGCTGTAGATCTTTATGGTTAGCAGCCCAATGCTTAACCCACTATGCTATCAGGCCTCCTCAAAACTACCCAGCTGACAGCAATATTCTCCTTTCTAGACCAGCTTTCCCTTCTCCCAGTCCTATCACACTTTCTTTCTCTATTTGTCTGGAGAACACATTTTACTTCCTCTCCATTAATCAACTGACACTCCAGCATCATTAGTTAATGTACTGTGGCTTAAAGGCTTTCTTTCCCAGTGAACCGCAACAGAGTCTCCTGAGGAAGAATCAATGTTCATTAAAAGGCCCAAACCAATCCTGTTTTCTGACTGAGAGTTAACAGTATTTTGATGATAAACAGTATTTTGATGATACATCCCCCAACTCTCAGTTACCTACCTAGAAGCACCTTCCATGCCAGTGTACGGTACATGGATGGAAGAGGGAACCTCTGTTACCTACCTAGAAGCACCTTCCATACCAGTGTCCGGTACATGGATGGGAGAGGGAACCTCTGACTGAAAGTACAAAGCTTCTCAGTATCTAGAGGAAGAGAAAAAATAATTCCAAGGTTTTCAAACTGATCAAAACATGTCAAAGTGCATTTTGTGTTTTATAATGGAGAGCACAACAAGACATCTCTTGAAGGGAAGTCAGGCATAGGTCAGTTAAATGTAGAAAGGGCACACTGGTCTGATTTCTAGCCAAGGGCTTCTCCTCTAGCTGTTCACAGATAATAACAGTCATGACATGGATGAACCTTGGAAACGTTATGCTGAGTGAAACAAGGCAGGCATAAAGGACAAAATGGAGTCCTAACGTGGGGCTGTGGGTTAATGTACTGGACTGCAAAGTTGGTTTGAACCACACAGTTGCTGACTCAAGCTCACCAGCTGCTCCTTGGAAACCCTATACAGGGTCGCTATGGGTCAGAACCAACTCGACAGCATTTTAACAACAAAAACAACAAAAGGGAAAATATTGTGTGACCTCACTTAGCATGAGATAGGAAAACATAGAAACTGGAACTTAGGAGTGGTTCCCTGGGGCAGCCAGGGAGGAAGGAACAAAGGGAGAGCTACTGTTTAGGGGGCACTTTGTTGTTGTTAAATGCCCTCAAGTTGGTCCTACTCATAGTGACCCTGTATAGGGTTTCTGAGGCTATTAGCTTTGTGGGAGCAGAAAGTCTCCTCTTTCTCCCAAAGAGTAGCTGTGGTTTGCATTCCAGTGTTTACCTGCACAGAGCCACCACACACAGAGTTTCTGTTAACAGGGTGGTAATACTTTAGAAAAGGATAGTGAGAATCGTCCCACCAGATGAAGAATGTCATCATCATTGCTGAGTTTATACATGCAGAAATTGTTAAACTGGAAAATACATTTGTATTTAAACCACAATTTAAAGAGAAATTAGTTTTACGGCATAGAAAACACATTTGCACATAGGATGATATGCCCTATAACATTACCAGTAATTACTATTTATAGAATTTCTTTACTTAATCTACAGTGCAGGCCTGTTGGGTTATTAGACGTTTCAAGTACTTAAGTGACTGTTTCCCAGTTAACAGGGCTAGTGAGCTCATTATTGTTGTTGTTAAGTGCCGAAGAATTGGTTCCAACTCATAGTGACCTTGTTTAGGGTTTCCAAGGAGCAGCTGGTTGGTTTGAACCGTAGATCTTGCGATTCGTCCACAGTGCCACACCAGGACTCCGAGTGAGCTCATCAGTGAGGCCTTAAATTCACACCTTCTCCAAAGAGCCACACTCAATCCCTCTGAGCCCAAACCCCCACTTGTCAAATGAGAATAATCACGCCTGAGATATTTAAAGCATAGACCATATAGAGAGGATCAAATCTTTTAGGCTGTAAAAACTCTTTTATGAAACTTTAAAAGCACTCTGTGCATGGTGATTACAGTGGTGACAAGAGCTACTGAGTAGGTTCCCACTCATGGCAAATCTATATACGGTTTCTGAGGCTGTAAATCTTTACAGGAGCAGAAAGCCTCATCCCTCTCCTGAAGAACTGCTGGTGGATTTGAACTGCTAACCCTACAGTTAGCAGCCTACCATGTAACCCACTACACCACTGAGCTCCTACTCTATGCATATTTTTTTTAACTGATGCTCAGTTGATTTTACTTTGGTTGACAACAAAACAGATCTTATTGCTACTAACATTAAAGAAACTAACATGTCAATACACAATGCAGTCTTAGTTATTTTCATAAAGAAAAATCATAACCAGAGTTGTTGCAAATTTATCCAAAGCTCAGATGGCACATATGAAACTGCCCTATGTTCACATACAACTCTAATGAGAGAAAAAATGACTGCTTTCTTAAAAGGCATTTCAAAAACTTCTCCCTCAATGAAATACAAATTAACTATAGAAGGCATCTCAAAATTCTGCTGCCATTCTATTATTAAAAAAACAGCATGACTAAGCCCTACAACGTTCAACAGACTTCTATGAACCCGGGTGGAGACCTGGTTAGCAAGCAGTGTGGCAAAACCTGGGGACTCTTGAGCCCAGAGTCAGTGACATAGCCACAGAGCACTAGATTGGAGAGTGAAGTGTCCAGCTGATAAGAAGAGAGGACATATGCACAAGAACACCCACACTTGCAGATAATACCCACTTATCCTGGCTTCAGTGACTGGATGATCAGAGTTCAACTAGAAGAAGAAAGAAGAGGAAAAAAAGAGTAATCTGATACAATTTGATGAACTTGATGCAGTAGCTCAAAAGAGGGAACAAATCTTTACAGCGAGCATCATTCCCACTCCCTCCATACACAGAGTAGACAGGGATGGGCAACTTGGACACTGGATACCCAAAGTGGGGGGCTCCAAAGGCAAGAAGGGCTGATGAAAGGAGATGCGGATAGGTCTCTTGTGATACAATAGTGAATAATTGTTATCAGGACTGACTGTGAGGGTTGGAAATGCAAAGGTAGACGTTCTGTAACAAGGAGGGGAGTGATTAACTTTTCAGTCTAGGAGCGGAGGTTCCTGGGACCATCAAGAGAGAAGAACGGAGAGCAGGACCCTACCCAGAGAAGCAGTGACGCCATAGATAGAGGCAGAGACAATGACAATGACGATGATGATGACGTGGAGAAATGGAGCAGCTGAGGACTTTAGACCCAGAGAGGGAGAGGGGCTGTGTGCTGACGACTGGGGGGCAGGCTTGTAGTGTATACCCTTTGGTTGGTTGATGATGCATGGAGGGAATTGTAACCATAGCAATGAAACAATATACAGTAAAATGAATGTAAAACTAATGTTCTCCCATGTAAACTATCATATAATTCACAATAAAACATTACGAAAAAAAAAACCCAGCACGGTACAAATACCTCTGGATGTCTTTTTTTTTTTTAAGTTTTTACTGTGAATTGAGTGATAGTTTACATCGGCTTTACACTCATCCTATTGTATTTTGTTTCACTGCAATGATTACAATCCCCTCCATACATCACCATTCAACAGTGTTTGCTTCTCTGGACGTCTTTTAAGATAATATCTACTTCAGACATCAGGGGATGATGGACAACCAATCAGCTTAATTCAACTTGCAAAACTCACCCAGACGGTCATCTTTTAGGAGAATTTCTAACGATTTCTTTTCTTCAACTCCACGAAATCCCACTTTCTCATAATACACTGAACGAAAGTTTCTCTGAGAGTCCTCAGTCATGTTTCATTCTTGAAGGAGAGATTACAGAGGGAGGAGAGAGAGAGAGCCAAAAATCAAGCAATGAAAAATTTTCAATGATTTTCTCCAAACCTTCCGAAGTTTTATAAGCATTACACTGTAAACCATAAAGTCCATGGTTAAAGCCCACCAGCCACTAATCAGGAGCAAGATGAGGCTTTCTGTTCCTTGAAGATTTAAAGCCTTGAAAACCTTATACAGGATTGTTGAGTCGGAACCAACTTGTCAGCACTTAACAACAACATGGTAAACTTCCTACGCTTGCATGTTGTTATTACTAGGTGCCATCGAGTCAGTTTTGATTTATATCGACCCTATGCACAATAGAATGAAACACTGCCTGGTTCTGTGCCAATATCACAATTGTTACGCTTGAGTTCACAGCTGCTGCCACTGTGTCAATCCATCTCATTGAGGGTCTTCCTCTTCTTTGCAGACCCTCTACTTTGTTGTTAAGTTCCATTGAGTTGATTCCAACCCATAGCAACCCTGAGTAGGGTTTCCAAGGGGCAGCTGGTGAGCTTGAACCACCGATCCTGCAGTTCAAACAACTTTGCAGTCTGACGCATTAGCCCACAGCGCCACCCTCTACTTTACCAACCACAGTATCTTTCTGACATTAAATAAATCTTTACTTTTGTAGAATTCTAACATCATCGCAGAAGTCCCAGAGTGGTGTCAACAGTTAAATGCACAACTGCTAGTCTAAAGGCTAGTGGTACAAAGCCACCCTGAGGTACCTCAGAAGAAAGACCTGGTGATCTGCCCCAGAGGCAATTCCACTCTGCATACATGGGGTCACAGGAGTTGAAACTGACTTGACAGCAACTAACAAGAATACCATCTTAACCCCCCCAAAAAAACAAAACCTAAATGAAGAATCCCCTGAACTGATATTATACAAGGCACAAGGTCCATGCAGCCAGGCTCCTACTTTACTAATGCAAGAACCTAGTCAAACAGAATATTTTCTAACGAAAAACTAAAACCAAGCTCACCGCTAGAGTCAATTCTGACACATAGCGACCTTATACACTGTTTCTAAGACTAGTCTTTCCAGGTGCCGAAGATCTCATCTTTTTTCTGTGGAGTGGCTGGTGGATTTGAGTCAAAGATCAGTGGTCTCTAGTTCTAACACAACCTTCACAATATGGGAAAACGTCAAATTACGGTGATGTTTTAAGAACAGAATGATTGTCATGCATTTTTCCAAAAATCATTATTGCTCCCCGGCAAATATTAAAGCGTTGGTGTAAAAAAAAAAAAAAAAAGAGTAACTCCTCGGGTATTCAAACCCTGAGATGTCCCCAATGACCAGGGGTGTAGTTTGGGTTCCTGACAGTCAAGATCTTTATTGAAAAGGTAGTCTCTGAGCCGACTCAGTCACTGGTAAGAGTAGGGTTCGTTTAGAGCTTATTAAAGGGCGCTGACCTTTCAAGACCAGATTTTTTTAAATTACATTTCAAAGCATTAAAGTGCAAAATGAATTCAGGTTTTGTTTTCTGAAGCATCCTACAGACGGATGCATGGAAACGATGGGACCCTCAGGTGGCACCACACCACAAACCTGTGCTCTGGGAGGCAGGGCTGTAAATTACAAATCCCGCCCAAGCGCGCCGAGCTGACGGGGGAAAAAAAACACCCCGGTCCCACTCTCCCAGTCATCCATTCACCTCCAATAGAGGAAACCACTCCTGGCTCGGCACTAAGTGGTCCGGGAGAGGCCCGGTGCGCTGAGCGGTGGCGGACGGGCGAATGAAGCTGTGGAGTCGCACCGGACAGGGGATGAGCCCCAAGGGTGGGCGCTGCAAGCGGAGGCAGGCAGTGGGACACCTGGGCTTCACCGCCGCCGGACGTGACGCAAACGCTGGGGCGAGCAGCGTGTGTGCTTAGAGCGCATGTGCAAGAAGCCCCGCCTCCTCCGTGTACGTTTCGGGCAGTGGTCGGGCAAGAGAGGTAGTACCCAAGCTGGCCCTGCAGCTTCCGCAACTTCGCTGAGTTTCTCCAAGTTTCCCGGCTCCGCCCTCCAACTCCGGCTTACTGGGTCCATTCCGGGTCCCAGTCTTTGCTTTTACAGTTTGGGTGTTGCGTGCCTGGGACCCCTTCCTAGAGGGGACTCTGGGCAGTACTTCTCAGCAATCTGCTGTAGTGGGCACGTTTTTTGGTTTTCTCCCCAGTTTGGGGGGAGAAGAGTAAAAAAACAATTAAGAATGTACCTGAGGAATTCCCAAAGATTTCCCAAAACCAATTTCCCAAACTCATTGGTTTCTGTTGGAGGCAGCAGGTATAATGTTCCTCTGAAATGACTACTGAAGTTTATAAACACAGTTCTATATTTGTCATGGTCAGCAACAGGCACTTACATCTAACTGGCACAGGCCCTGGCACACCTGAACAGCATTGTCTTAGGTGGGTTTTTATCAAGGTGGCTCAAGAAGAACCTGCTGGAGAAAGCGCAGTGGTGGTTAAACAAACCCTGTAACTTGTTGCTGACCCGTAGAATGCGAAGCATGGAGACCCCATGTGTTGAACTGCTCCACAGGGTTTTCTTGGCTAGAAAATCTTTACAAAAGAATGTTGCCAGACCTTTCTTTCATGGTACCGCTGGGTCAATTCAGACTGCACCTTTTAAGTTAGCAGTGAATCTCAAACTGCTCATAGACAACAAAACGAAAGTAAAACACGAAACACAGTCAAGCAATCTATACTCACTCATTCACCCGTTCGACAGAAAAGTTGAGCCTGTATTAAATTCGGTCGTTTTCCTCCGACTCGAGGGTCTTTTCCTGATGACCTGGGGGTCTCTGATCCCGTACGAGCTCCCAATGTAAGGCCCCAAAAACGGACCCTATCCTGGTGAGAGACCCCTAAAAAGATCAACAGGACTCAAGTTCGATGCAATAGCAAGAGGTTTATTTTTCCAACGCGTTGGGGTCTACCTTCATAAAGTCTCTCCGCAGGGAGGTGAAGGCGACCCCGGCTTGTTAGTTTCCCTGCCTTTTATAGGATTTTATCAGCTGTAGTGCATCATCCGCTGCAGTGCATATAAATGGATTGGCTTTTGCTATTGCAGTGATTGATTGCATATGAGGGGAAACTGGGGAAATTCCAATGATTCTGAGGGCGGCCTGACCTAACTGTTTTTCTCTAAAATTTCCTGGCAGCTGGGCCTAGTCACGTTTTTGATAAGCTAAGGCCTAGGTGATTTTAGATGGATCCCAAAACCAGGCTAAAGTTTGGTCAAGAAAGTTACTTTCCTTACAATATCACCTAGGGACCTTTCAGTGATGGGTAAGCACTTTCATGAAGTGGTAAGCACTCAGCTACTAATGGAAAGGTTGGCAGTTTGAACCCACCAAACCACTTCTCAGGAGAAAGCTGTGGCAGTCTGATTCTGTAAAGATTACATAAACCTTCTATTCTGCCCTAAATCTTTACAGACCAGAACCAAGAAGATGCCAGAAATAAGTCCAGTTATGCTTTGATAAATTTGTGGTGTAGCGGGTAAACAGAACTTCAAAATAAAAAAACATCTGATGGTTGCACTCAAACATTTTTGCCCATCCCTAGCCACTCCGTACCACTGCCATCTCTAGTACCGTACCTCATCAGTTGTTTTCATGTGGATTCTGGCTCCTGGGGACCCCACATGTGTCAGAGTAGAACTATGCTCCATAGGGGTTTCAGTGGCTGAGTTTTGGGAAGTAGATGACCAGGACTTTTTTCTGAGCTATCTCTATGTAGATTCAAACTCACAAGCTTTTGCTTAGCTGTCAAGTATATGGACTGTTTGCACAATCCAGTGCTTCAGTGTTGTTACGTGCCGTCGAGTTGATTCCGACTCACAGTGATCCTGAATAGGATTTCTGAGGAATGGCTGGTGAGTTTGAACCACCGACCCTGCTGTTCAAACCTACCTTATGGTCAGGTGCTTATCCTACAGCACCACCCCAGGACTCCAAGTACTTCAGTACTGGGGTCTAAACACCGGTTAGGCAGTGCTTCTTCACATGAGTCAGAATTCTTCCAGTTTCAGCTTCCAGAATGAGAATAGCTCCATCTGGATCTCAGACCAGTCACTTAACTTTGACAAGTCTCCTTTTTCTTATCTTTAAAATAGGGCCACTAGTGCTGCTATTAGAGTTGTGGTGTGGTGCTGTTATTTAGTGCGCTGCACTGTAAAGTCAGCTTGAGCTGCAAGACCAGCAGTTCAAGCTTCACTAGCTACACTTTTGAAACCCTGTCCAGGGTTGTTATGGGTCAAAACCAACTCTACAGCACTTAACAACAACAGTGCTGCTAGTACCTTCAATGTACCTTAGACTTCTTCCTTCAGAATCATTATCTCTTGCTCATATGCTATCTTTTGAAATGGTTCAATATTTCTTAAGTTCCCTCAACTTAAAATATGCTGAGTGTGTTCTTCCCTTTTGGTTTCCTAACTCTAGGGCTTTGCACATTTCGTTACAATATTTGACTTTGTCTTCTTGAGTTGCCCTTTGGAATTTTCCATTCAGCTCTTTGACCTCCTCCTTTTCAATAACCTCACATACATGTGAAAGTTGGATAGTGCGTAAGGAAGACGATAGAAGAATTGATGCATTTGAGCTACGGTGTTGGAGGAGAATATTAAAAGAACCATGGACTGCCAAAGAACAAACCAAACTCTGTTTGAAAGAAGCAAAGCCAGAGTGCTCCTTTGAAGCTAGGATGGCCAGACTTTGTCTCTCATACTTTGGATCTAATATCAAAAGGGACCAGTCGCTGAAGGACATCATGTTTGGTAAAGTAGAGGGTTGGAGTAAAAGAAAAGACCCCAAGTAGCTAGTTGGTATGCACAGTAGCAGCAGTAATGGGCTCAAATGTAGCAGATTGTGAGGTTGGCACAGGAATGGGCAGTGCTTTATTCTGTTGTGTATAGGGTTGCTATGAGTAGGTACTGACTCAATGGCACCTAACAACAACAAAAGTGTTGCTATCTCATAGGGTTGTTGGG